AGGAACGCGGATCGACAGGGACGTCTGTACCGATACTGGGGGGTGGGGGAACGATCGCGTTAAAAGGAACAGCACGTTCCACCCGAAACTCCATGTGCCACCCCGGAACATCCGCAAAGTCTATTTGCACCGGTCTTGTCGTGGTTTCGCCGTGAAACGTCACGTAACCGTAAGCAGTTCCCTTATTTCCATCGCGATTAAAATCAATGGCGGAAAGGGTGACATACTTGTCGTACGTCCCCTCCTGCCACTCCTTGCGGTAGAACCGCTGCCCGCGGCCATCAAATTCCACCTGAGAGGCCAATTGGAAAATGTTCTTTCCGGTGGATGTATTGTACTCGTACGTGGCCACGGTCGCCCGCAATGCCTCCAGCGGATCCACCTGCGATGCACGGTCAACGCACTCCACATCCACCAGTTGTACGCCATCCAGCACCATCTTTTCCTTGGCGTTAAGAACAACACCGGGCACATACTCCTTTGCGGCCGTCCACGGCATGCGCCTGCGGTGAGGATCCGGGGAAAGTTTCATTCCCTTTGAGCCCAGAGTCATCGAGCTGCCGCCGTTAAGCGCGTCCCGTCGAAGGGCAACAACAGCCCGCCGCAGCATTCACAAATGCCCTCCTGTCACTTCCTGTGCAAAAAAAAAAAAAACATTGGACGGAAAAGCGTGCTCAAATGCCCTGGCAAGAAAAGTCAGCACCAGTGAAAGAACACTGAGGCCACGGGCACATGCTCCACAAACGTCCTTCCTTTTTTGTCAAACTTCTTAGTTGCATGGAAATGGCCCGCAACCGCACACGTGAGAGTACAAAGGTAAAAGGCAAGCAGCGCAGCCGTTGAAACACACACACGTGCATCGTATGAAACACTTCATGGAGAGGAACAGAGGGCAGGAAGAAGCGCACACAATTTCCACAGACACCCGCAATCGTGTGTGTTTGTGTGCGTCCCACTCTTCCTCTCCCGATGCATTCCTGTGCGTGTCTCGCCAGTGAGTCACAGTGCCGTAGGATGCCAAGTCCCTGCAAACACACGCGCCTCAGGACGCGGCAGCGAGGTTTCCCCAATGACCACCTCACGGCCATACCTTTTGGATATCTCACGGACCGAGCGCCTCTCGCTGCAGGCCACATCACACAAAACAAGCAGCAAAATCCGCTGAGAAGTTGTGAGGGCAATCATCCCACCACCGCCACCCAGATCAGGATGACTCTCCCATTTGCCACCACACCCTTGAAATGGCTCGGCGGTTTTTCCTGCTGCTCCACTGCTTTGGCCACCACTCGCACCATTTGGCCTCATCCCATGATCGCGCTGCACCGATGCCAACGACAGCCCAACCCGCAGCGTCCTATTCCTGTCCGTCTCCATAATCATACAGGCCTGTTTCAGAAACGGATCCTCGTCCGTCGCGGCGTTGCTAGCAGAATCACTCGTGCTCCGTCCGTCCTGCGCCGAGGCCGTGTTGTCTCATTGCACGCTCCCGGCCCTCCTCGTCACATGCTCAAGGTTCGCAAACAAATGGGCGTCGGGCGTCAGTCCACCTTCTCGGATCAGCTGCTGCTTATTGGCCTCCGTCAACTCGTCGGTGCTGCTCGCAGTCATAAGCAACAGGAGAAGACGCAGACGCACTGGCCGGGGCATTGCCGCATCCCTCGTCAGGCGCCGCACACCATCTAGGTTTTTCCTGAAGGGTTTGTGCCCAACGGCGATGTCTTGTTCCACCTCCCACACCTCCGCCAGTCGCTTCTCCTGGCACCGTGCCACAAGCCTCGTGCAAATGTTGATGTGCAGGGACGGTCTGGCCTGCCTCTCCCGAAACTCCGGCGAAGCCCGCACCGCACTGGTCAACTCCGCAAGATTGGCCTTCGGCTCCCCGCCCTGCGCCAATCCCGAGTGATACGCGTCGAGTTCTTTCAGCGCCGCCGAAAGCTCCTCCACGCACTGCGCAAGAAAACAATGACGGCACGAGCACCAGTACACATCTTCTTCATCCATCAAGTACTGCCGCTTCGAGTCCACCCCAGACAATTCCCACAGGTCTGCTCATACACGTTATTCTCCAGCGGCATCAGGTCATCTCAAGCAGACGCCGGCATGTGCGTTGGTGCATCAGTGTCGTCACCGTGTCGAAGCCCCAATCAACAGCGGCCAGCACCGGGTTGCCGCGGCTGTCTGGCCACTAAGTGAAATCCGGTTCGTCGTGGCAGAGCTCGGAATGCCCCCCAAAGAAGGTCCTGGAAAACCCATGGCAGATGCTGCTTCTGTTTTGTTGGCGAATGCCGGGAACACTGTTGTTCATGGCGTGAAGAGCCGCCACAAGACGTGACGCCGCAACATCCACAGCGGACTCTCGAGTCGGAGGCGACAGTAGCGACAGCAGCTGAGGGAACTCATTCTGCATGCCGAGGTGGAACACCAGTGCCTCAGGAACAGTAAACTCTAACATCATGTCCTTAAAGCTCATCACCCTCGGCGCTGTCTGAGCCCACGCGAGTTGCTGAAGGCGGCGATGCGGAATGCACCCCAGCGAAAAGATGTGTGCATCCCTGTACGGGTCCTTTGCCATCCAATCCGCAACCACGCAGCTCACACACGCACCCTCCACGGCAAAAAAGTAGGCCACAGGGCTGCTCATAATCGGCTGCCGCGGCGTCGCGAGGTCCTAAAGCAGCGTCACGCCGTGCTCCATGAGATCATGGAGACGCGGTGAGCAGCTCAGCACAGCCGCAGCATGGGCATCAAAGACAGGAACTTTGAACGATCCATGAACGGCGTCGAGCATGTGGTGAAAGATATAATCCCGCACACAACCACGAGTGCCATTACTGGGCTCACGCGGCTGCACCTCCTCCGACGGCTTTCATCGCTCAAATCCGACCCGCACACGACGTCAAGTACAAGCCAAACAGACAATGTGCTTGGATATGCGTGTGTGTGCCTTGTGTGTGCACATTTCACTCGCATCGTTCTGTGTGTGCTTCAGAAAATCAAACAAAAAAACAATGAAACAGGGCCATAAGACGACTTTACATCAACAACCAAAACAAAAGAAGCACCGTGCACCGGAAATATCCCCAAATACCAAAAACAGAACCAAACGGAGTGCATACGGAATATGCATACATTCAAAGGAGCCAATTGGCATGGATTTTTCTCTCCTGCATCCACTGCTGAGCGCAATCCACGCAGGAAGCAACAGCAGTCGCCTCGCCGTGCAACGGAACCCATGCCGCCGCTCAGCAGAGTGGTGTCACGGCGACGGCAGCGGCAAGCAGAAGAAGCAGCAGACAGGGACAAGCAGCAACAGCAGCG